TGTTACCCCGGTGTACTTGTTCACTCGGCCCCTGTCGGGGACAGATGAAAGTGCGCCGGTTTACTGGCTGCGGAGGGCATGAAGTGACCCTCAGGGGAGGAGGAAGTTATTTAAAAGTGCAACATTCCCGAGCGCATAGAGACCTCGTTCATTTGCGCTAAACCATCTATTATTATTATTATTATTATTATTATTATATATATATGAATATATATATATATATATATATACATACATATGAATATATACAGTATATATATATATATATATACATATATATACATAATATAAATCATAGTATGCTGCATAGCACTGAACATAGTATATAATTAAACTAATATGCAAATGATAGAAACAGGGAGCACCGTGTATAATATTTATATGGCAACTTGGTATGGTGCTATGATTCCATTTACCTGCTGAATATTAAATAAGCATATGTGAATATTATCACACACGCTCCAATCTAGCTCGGAATAGGATATAATTTTGTCATGATGGGTAAACCAATATAGTTGCTGAATAAAATTATCGATTAAGCATATTCTGAAAAACAGCAATTCGCCTTTCAGGTCAAAACGTACATTATATGAATATAAATACCTAATAGAATAAGTGTAAATATTTGAATAATTAATATAAAATTAAATGTGCTTACCGGCATAAACTTTGAAAGAAAACACAAGCACCAGTAGACCTGCTAATTGTAATTTTTCCCGGCATTTTAACATGGTTCATTAGTAGAACTACCTGACGTAAAGGCGTTTTGCTATCTTTTTGAGCAGGCTACTTCAGCTCTCGGGATCAACTGACGAACTAAGGAATTATAGACATCGAACAATTACGATGTCAAGGTTTTTTTTTCTTTTTTCTTTATCTATAATTTTCGCTATGGCACTACCCAGTCACAGTTCAAAGCTTCTCGGTAGTATCAATTAAGCCTTTTAAGGAATAATGTATAAAATGAATGCATACAAAACCACCAAACTGAACTATCTTACAATATGTCATTGTCTAAGGCACAAAGAGTTGCTACCTCACTTCAAATTAATCCTACGTGTTAATTAACGTACAGCGTTAAGATGTATCAGTAGTATATTCATTGCAAATTCCTATAATAATAATAATAATAATAATAATAATAATAATAATAATGATAATAATAATAATAATAATAGTAATAATATTTACTTTGAAATTTATGTTTTATTAAGGCAACCCAATAATGCAAAACTACAATGGAGGAAGTATCTGTCTACATTTCTTTTGTTATGATACATACGCATAGACAACGGCGGCGGAAGCGTGGGTGGGGGTGGAGACCAGGGGGCCATTGACCCCCCCACTTTTTCTACTGGGAGGCCTCGCTGAAATGTCATTATTATTATTATTATTATTATTATTATTATTATTATTATTGTTATTGTTATTGTTATTGTTATTGTTATTGTTATTATTATTATTATTATTATTAGCGTAATATAACCACATTTAAACTCCATCAAATTTAACGAAAACAATAAGATACTTAATTAGGCCATTTTTTTAAATAAAATACTCTGAAGGTTAACTACAGAATTTACAGTAATAATAATAATAATATTTCGTTCTTATATAGCGTACACTGTAGTTAATGTGTTAGATTGTAAAAGCTGTATTGAATACAAAAATAATCTTTTCAATAAAAAAAATCTTTCGCTTGACATTAGGAATTAGTCATTTGTGAAACAAAATGATAAGCTATGTCAAGTGGTGGATTCAAGGGGCGACCAGTCAGCAGAGGGCCCCAACCTCCTATTTTTTTTTTTCAAAATTTCAATAAAATGGAGAAAAGAGACAAAATTTGATTCAACTTTTAATCTGAGAGTATCATTTCCGGCCATCTAGAGGTGCCATAATCATAATTCTTTTTTACCTCAGCCGCAACCGTTGTGGGGCTGAGGTGGGTGGACATTCCATTTGCGCAAGACCCTCTCTGGGTTCCTCTATTTCGACTTCCTGGACCCGCCACTGTTGGAGTATCATTTCCGGGCTACTATAGAAGGGTAATTTTTATCCATCGGGGGAAAAGTGAAGGTTTCGTCGGGGAATACCCATTTCAATGATAACCCTCATGATAAATAATTAATTGAGATCGTGGAAGCAATCTCGTGGTGGATTCAAATGCGGGGGGGGGGGAGTGCGGTAAATTGTTCAAATTCTTTTTTAAAAAGAGATATAAAGAAAATTATATTTATAGTGCAATTTCTGGCCATCTAGGTGCCATAATCACAAATTTTCTCCTTCATCCATCTGTGAAACCCCCCCCCCCCCCCCCCACCGGCCCCTCTATTTCAATTATGAAGTGATATTATACGCTTGATGCCTATAAAATAACTAATAAAATTCACCAAATTTAGTCAAATACCCGTAGCTTCGCCCCCTGGACCCCCACCGGGGGCCCTTGGCGGTCCCCTGGCCCCAGCCTAAATGCTCGCTGCGCTCGCATACTGGACCTTATGAAATGCCCCCTCCCACTTTCAAAAACATTCCACCGCCGTTGCGCATAGAAAGTAGGCCTACATCAGTTCACAACAGTTTTAAATTGATAATTTAAATTGTTGCAACAACACATGACATAAATATAAACTGCTGTTCGGACAAGTAGTTGTTGGACTGAAATTGGAAGTCATATTAACCTTTTCCTTATTTCTAGTACTCTACATCCAGCATGTATCGTCAGTCTGATAGTAGTGACATTTACACCACTACAGAGCGAAAAGCAAAAGACAAAAAGCATTATAGTAGCAAAAATGGCCCGGCCCTGGGAAAACATGAGCGTAAAAGAACATATAGTAGTTAGTCTCAAATAACTGTGGACAACAATAACATAATAAACAAACAAAAAATCATTTAAAATTCCATTCAACGAAGTTAAAATCGTTAACAAAAAATCGGCGCTCAGGTAGGAAAAATGTCAGAACCTTAGCAGATAATACTTCAGAGCATTGGAAAAAAAAAAATGTAAAGGTCCCCGCCCGACGGGGCCGATGCCCACAATCATACAATCTAGTTGAGAAGTGAGCTGATGTAATTGGAATGTTGCCATTAATTTAGTATATATATAAACTTTATTTATTCACACAAAAAAACAGTATACACTCGTTCAATCAAGAGATTGTTTTTCAACAGGTTCGTGACAATACTAATAAAATAAATTGCTTAAAAATTAATAATCAAAATATTCCTTTAACATTTTTTGAAAATTCTAATTGAAATTGGCAGATTTTTAATATTTATATTGAGGGTATTCCATATGGTCGCTCCTCGGTGTATGATAAACTTCGTTTTTTAAAGTCTGTGTGTGGTAGTGGAATTAATAGGTTTGTTTTGCCATGTCTAAAGTTATAAGAAAAATTATTGTACGTAAACAAATTATTTGAATATGGCGGAGCATGACCCTTAATTACTTTATAAATAATTAACAACATTCAAACTTGTCCTGGTCTGAAAGGGGACACCAATTTGCTTTCTGTAATGCCTCATTACTTGGTGTCCCATTTTGACCACACACAATTCGGGCAGTTTTATTTTAAATAGTCTGTATCCTTTTAAAGTAAGTTTGACTAAAGTTTCCCCAGGCTACATTACAGTTGAAAAGGTTAAAGGTTATTCATTTTTTTTTATTTACCTTAAGTGAGAAACAATAACAGCATTTGCAATATTTTAAAGACATTTTGCGGAAAGTAATAACTGCATCGTCTGAGCATACCCAATCCTTTCAGAGTTTTTTTTTTCGCGAATGCCTTCAATTTTGATTCTTCCATGATTTTCGTCTACTTTGACTCCAAGATGCTTACTGCATCGAACACGCGGCGCTAAAACATTATCAATATTTACAGATTTTGTTTTTATTTTTCGTATTTGACAGTCTTTTACTTGAGCCGATTAGCTTAAATTCTGTTTGTTATTTTTTAGCCAATCATAAATTCGAGCAAGTTCCTCATTTATGGTTTGGTAAATTACATCGTCATTGTTGGATGCATAGTAGCAAGCCGCATTGGATATTTAATTTTGTACACTCGGACAATGCATCATTTACATTAGTGAATTGTACTGGAGCGTTGCCACCACATTTAGTTCTAGTGATGCTAAGATTCAGTGCCATACAATTTATTTTAACCCATTGTAAAATAATACCTGAATCATTTGTAGTATTTGATTTACTTGCATTGTTAATAATCCTGTAAGCGACAGTGTCATCCGCATATATTGGAATACATTTGAGTTGAAAAGTCAATGATATAGTAGAGCAGCAAGCACCGACCACTTTGATATTACACGATGGTATATGTTGTTATCTCATGAAGAACTCCATTCATTTAACTATATTATTTACTATACCGGATGAGATCTTTCAGGCGTAACGCTATTTCAAATCATTGACTTAAAAAAGGGTTACGCCCAAATTATTTCGTCTATACTTTCTCAGTAAAATTTGAGGCAAATCTACTATCACCTACGTGTTTTATTTTACATATACAAGTTGCCTATGCAGCAACTCTGATTTTTCCATATATCGGGTGACCACTACTTGAAGTAAGCGAATCCGTCACTTATTTCGTCGTGGGGGCTCGGGTTCCAGTTACGCGCAGGCTCAGTCGGTAGATGATTACATATATGGCCACAAATAAAGCAAGAGGAACCTTTTCTAGTTATATGCTTAATAATGATTTATTGGGCAATTGGGATTACAAATAATGTCTTAAATTGGACCTAACCTAACCTAACAAACTACTCACGTGAGACCGTCGGCAATGCAGCGTACGCTTCTTCCTTATTAATTCAGGAAGGTTTCCAGTCAACAGCTTTCTGAAGAAAATTCACATTTATCCTAAGACTATCCGACTATTAGGAATATACTTCTGTGTGCTGGAGTTCCGATCGGGATCTCTCAGTGTTCCTTCTTCTCTGCGGTGTCTTTTTCCTTCTTTCCTGTTCTCTCTTGTTTCCTTGGATATTCTGGGTATATGTAGGGGATCTGGCTCAACCCTACTCATTCGAATATTCAATTATCATTGGTCCTTTAGCCTCAGGCAACACCCAAAGTCACTGTCCATTCCCGATTTCCTGTGTCCGGTAATACATCATTTGATGTTGACAAGATGTTTCCTACACTTCCTCAGGTATGGCGACAGCATACCACCCAACTCTCGGGAGAGGGTTAGCTGGTGGTATCTATTTTACTATAGGAAATGGAATGTTCAATGGGTCATTAACCTACAGGCTAAAACAGTATTCCATTGTATAGCCTCTTTGGATACGGGATAGTGGATTAATATAAATAAATAATATAGAATAAATTTAAAGGTACTTAAGATTAACTAATAAAATATACAAAAATACACCCTACTACATCCTCCCCTGCTTTAGCGAATGTCGTCCCGACATTACACTTAAGGGAAATAGGAGGGCTAATTCAGTCCTCAAATTTGCCGTTAAGACAAAGCATAAAAACAATTTAAAATGGGGAACAACAAACTTAAAGAAAAATATCATCAAGTAAAAAAACATCATATACCGTAACAGAAAACTTATTGTTAAATTACAAACAACATTCGTCGATTGAAACAATCAATTAACACAAATTTCTTAAACGAGAGCAATATAAATATTAAGTCAAACAAAATTACAATGTGTGACAAAAATAGATAAAAATTCTAAAAATCCTTTTGAAACATCAAAACAATAGCAATCTAAGCAAACGTTTGCAAAATCATTCGTCTAAGAGATGCATTCTGTTCTGCTTCTCTAGATGCATCTTCTAAGAGTTTAAACAACAAATTA